GTATATGGCCTTAAGCTAACTTATACCCTTTAAGTGAAAAACACGCTGCGATTTGAAATTAGGGTACTGAAATGGATCATAAATTGAGTAAAATACAGATCTATATTTCATTTCGTTTTTTTATACTTTCCATGGCCTACACTACTATACATGGAGATCTGACCAGTTATACTGGAAGGTCGCATCAGGGGTAGTGTAAGCAGTTTTTGACCCTATGACTTCAGATATTGATTAACCAATCAGCATCAACATTTCTAGTGGTTTACCCACAGTTCCGTGCATGGCACGCCATGAAGTTGCCGTAATAGATGTTTTCATTGACTAATCCCCCACGCCATCCAAAACGCCTGTTATATAACAACTCTTCCATATCCTAGTGTAGTACAAACAAATAAAGCGAAATTTTGAACAATAAAAAAAGAAACAAAATAGGGTCTGTGTTTTAATCAGATTGATTTTGGCCATGTGGGACAGGGGGTCATATTCTGAAACGGGTTGAAAATTAAACTTCATTTATCCCACTATAACATATATTAAAGTCCATCTTATATGAGGGGTTGGATGGCCGAGTGGTTAGCATGTGCGCACTTTATCATAAGGTCTGTCATTGAGTCAACTGGCGTGGTTTCGATTCACCTGTTTGTATGTGACAAGGAGTAGGGTCGCCTGTCCAATCTCATGGGTTTTCTCCAAGTCCTCTGGTTTCCTCCCACTGCTGAAGACCCCTACGCGCAAGCGAATGTTTGAAAAAAAATTGAACCATGTTATTCCCGAAATGACCTAGTTTGTGTCAAGTGGAATCATTTTAGATCTAAATTTGTTTTGCCTCACAAATGAGTAAAAAATGGTTATTGTAGCACCATGGGTCTTCTGTCAGACTTGGAGAGTGGAGGACGCCAAACCGGTCGTCACCTCCGGCGTATGACCCATGCAAGTTTTCTTACTACATATCTTAGTAGCCTTGTGGTCTGTAGTTTTCAGGCATCTAGTGATAGTGAAACACTACTGTACTTCAACTTTCTAAGCAGACAAAACAAGTTTTCCCCAGTTTTTAAAACAAAACTCAATAGAAACGATACTACCAGGAGCCTAAAAGAGTCATTATTCTATGTTAAGAGTTGCTCTTAAATGACAAATATAAGGGGTCTAATCTAAGTCTTTCAGAAATAATTTTAATCTGATCGTCAAAACCCAATATTCCAATTCGTGAACCATATTAACCATGTGCATCCAAAATGATTCCATATTTGTAATCTACGCAATAAGTCACTCTACTAAATAGACATGTTTGAGGGGTATACAACGTAGGTCATTTAAAATTAACATGACAAGCCATTAAAACTCCATCACCACACAGATTTCAAGTGCCAATTAAAAATATAAGCCATCAAATACACACGATGGACTTTAATGTAGTTATAGCAGGGTAAATGAAGTTTCATTATCAATCCTTTTCAGAATTTTACCCCATGTCCTACATGACCAAAATTGAAGAAGAAAATGGGTAAATTTGTACGTTTTCAGTCTGCAATGAATTTCGGGACTGAATATTTTGAAAAGTATATATCACATAGATGCAGAATCTTTTGTAAATTGATATAAGACAAACTGAAATTAACTCTACCAATTTTGGAGGTTGTGTATACAATAGTGACTCTGCCAGAGGCTATGGAAATCCTGAAAAAAAAAAGAATTGAATAGTTCATTTATTCAACTTTTGCCACCTGTTGGCGTAAAAATTATGCATCACAGATTGAGTTTGATGCAAAATTCGAAATCTACACCAAAAGTTATCTTAGATTACAAAGTCAGAGCGTTCCATTCTTATTAGAAATGTGAGTTTATGGCGCCTGAAAAACTGAAAAAAATATACTGAAGTAAAGGACCGTTTCAAATGGCCATATCTCAGCGAAATTTTGACCCAGAGATGTAAAATTGCAGATTTGTTAGTTTAAGACCATAATACTATAACATATTTTTTTAATATTTTAGGAGTTGGTCATGTTCCCACCATTGGTCCAGTTCATATGGAATGGCCCACTTGTATTTCCTCAAAAGTTGTCATTTTTGCTCTCCAATATGTCATTTATGCGATAAGTTAACAGTGGTCTTAAGATGCTAGCCTAACTTTGTTATCTGAACGTAAAGACAAGGGAAATAAACCACTGGTTTATGGTGGTACAATGTATATTAGATTCAAAATTCTAACGTGCTATCATCTAAACCTAAATTTGTTTGACATTCAATGTAAAGCGAAAATGAAGTAGACATTTTCCGTCTTAATAATACATGTACCAATAAGATGAAGATGAAATAGACTTAAAATTGGTGCTGAACAAATAAAGAAGTTGGATTACACATTGTCTTAATTTAAAAATTGCATGAATAGAAGTTAGAAATTAGACGATAGCATGTTAGAATTTTTGAATCTAATATACTGCCATACTGGTTAATATGAGTACATGTAGCTAGGACCGGGAAGTAACATGGGCCAGGTGACGTTGGACTATCCCTTCCGGTTTCGGAGTTACATGTACACTACTTTCAACCTGTGCAGCACTGGGTCATCCGCTAGTAACACATAAAGAAATCATAGAAACCAATGTATAATTAAAATTGTTGTAACTTAGTTTACAATTTTTAGTCCTTCTTTTTTTAAATACGCATGCTTTTAACTGTTTGTGGTCTTACACACTATACACTTTATAGCGTTTTTTTTCTGGTTTATTGAGGCTTGTAAGATGATCTTCAGATCCAGATATTACTAAAACAAACATCTATATAAACAACATTATACATGTATATAATACATGTTTGTACATAATAAAATAATGTAACATACTGTAGTAAAGCAGTTTGTTTGTAAACATATAAATATTTGTGCCATGAAATTAAAGCCTCATAAAAACAAACATTTATAATCCAACAAGTCAACTTATACATGTACCATAAAGAAGGCCAACTGAAAAATCATTTAATTCAAATGTATGTTAATTTTGCTTATATTTATTCAGTTAAAGGCCTTTTATTTTAAGAACCTTGGAAAATAATTAACATTAAAAACTTATGAGTTTTATCCAGAATGCTTATTTTGTATAACTGTTGAAATAGACTCAATTTTAATCAAAAGTTAAATTTCTAAACTTTATGCTCAATATAGTTACCAGAACAAAACTATTTACATATAGATTGTACGAATTGAACCATGACCTGTGTTATATCAGTGATAACAGTATATTTTTAGCTTTTAGTGCTTCAAATATAACACTGTTTTTTTTCTTCTTCTTTTAACTGTTATCAATGTTGTGCATTCCTTACTACACATATCTCTTGTTTCTTTGGAAACAGCAAAACTATTCATTCTGAAGTCTGAGAATGTTTATAAGCTGTTTTAAAGATTGCATGATGTAAAATATATATATAGTGGTATGATATTTATAGTGTATTGGATATCATCATGTCCCAGTTCACTTGTCTGATCAGAAAGTTTGTGAATAGTGTAGATAGTTGACCAATTCCCAAAAGTCATTAAAATATCTGAGGAACCCTGCCCTTCCATACTGGTAATCACCCATTTGTGCTTGTACTGTAGTCAGCCACCTCGCCCAGCTGCACAGTTCATGCTTTCAACCTACTTTATTCTTTGTTATTGATTTGTTATAAATGAACAGTTGGGAAACACTTTTGTAAATTAATCTTATGCTTGTATCATCTTGTGGGGTTGTACAAAATATAGATGAACGAGGTTGTTTTTTTATAAATTAATAATGATATTGCGATTTTAATATGATATTATGGTCAAGATGTTACATCTTGAACAAGCTCTATAGATATTTGCTCTTATTTCAAATATGAAATTATGCTCTGGGTTCGTCATCGTTTATAATTCGTACTTAATCTAACACCTTGTCGTTTGTTAATGTTTCATTTAGAACTAGTTCTTTCCAAATATTTCAATGAAATAGCTTTATTAAAGATACATTATGGGAGATTTTTATAGAGAGTTGGCCATTCTTGCTATAACAGTTCAAAAGTAGACGATGAAAGAAGAATATAATGAAAATTTCAGTCAAATTACTTTATTCTGAACAAAGTTATCATCGTTGTAATATTTGACTAGAAATGGTAGTCAAATGTATCTTCACCTTGGCCGATCGTTTGACAGGCGTTAACTCCACCTACATAATCTTGATTATCAAGTAACGTTTTCAATGGATTGAGACAGGGTTGCAGTTCAATTCGTATCACATTTATTTTTACTACAAAATAAAAATAAGACTTTTATTATATAGATAAGAAGCGAAAGTTTGAAAGGAATGGACCAAATCAATGAGGCATAATTATAGCCGACTTCTTGTTAGCCTGCGTGTACTCTTGTACTGTAAGGTGACCACGTGACTCCCGAAGCAGACAAATAGGAAACACTACAGTGATCCAATGGGGCTGCAATTCAACTGGGGTGATGTTACATGTAGCTGCGATGTTTATCAATTTCCATAATGTTTCTGTAAACGCAAGTGACAAAAGAGCATATAATACCGACATCCAAACTCTCATTTTAACCACAACTGAACATAATATCAAGGCCGTATATATCGAACTTTCAATCTTCGTACACTCTATCATTTAGCCTCGATCTAACTCATGACGTCAACGTAACGGTTAATAATCTCCGCATGAGGTGCCATTTATGATTTAATCAATCAGTGAAATCTTATTTAAATCCAAGCTGTAGCCGAGCCATCCATGGGTCTACAGAGTTGATTTTGGGCTTGTTGTTTAAATAAAGATCTAATTTATGATCTCTATAACATCTGAAGCCTAAATTAAGACTTGCAATAATCAGATTTAGCTCTTGCATAATGTATGTTTAAATGTTCTCTTTTTGTTTTCAAACAAGTGATTGTATTCCATATAAATGATTGTCTTTTTATTGTGCTCAGTCACTAAATACCACTCCAGGATTATATTTTGATTGTTTATTTTCTCATCTTTTATAGGGGAAGTACGATATTCCAGAAATAATCATAAAGTGGCAACCTTGATGCATGTTGATAGAAATCTACCACTCTGGGCATTCTTTGATGTCTATGGCAATGTTCAGAAAATCAGATTACTTGGTAAGAATTTTTATACTCCTATATGGAAATGTGGTTGTATATTGTTGTCGCCCCCGTTCGTCAGTCGTCCATAATTTCTTGTGAACACAGACAACATTTATCATCTTTGTTGAACCTTGTAAACGCTCCAATGACAAAAGTTATGATCCGATCTGTATCAAATTTATATGCATTATTTAAATTATAGTGAAACGAAGACCCTTATTAAATTTCAGTAATTTCCATTAATTAAATCTAGAGTCATGGCCCTTGTTTTACTTTGTTGAACCTTGTCAACACTCTAATGATAAAAGTAATAATCCGATCTGTATGAAATTTATATGCGTCATTTGAATTAGTGAAACGAAGATGGCTATTAAATTTCTGTTAATTACGTCTATAGTTATAGTCCTTGTTTCACTTTGTTGAACCTTCTGAACGCTATAACGACAAAAGATATTATCCGATCTGTATGAAATTTATATGCCTCATTTAAATTGGTGAAACGAAGTAGCCTAATAAATTTCAGCAATTTGCATTTATTATTTATTACATCTAGAGTTATAACTTGTTTCACTTTGTTGAACCTTGTAAACGCTTGAACAACAAAATTTAACATCCGATCTGTATGAAATTTATAGCATTATTTAAATTAGTAAAACAAAAAAAATCTGTCGAATTTCAACAATTATTTCCAGAGTTAAGACCCTTGTTTCAGTTTGTAGAACCTAGTAAAACCTCATAGCAGTATTAGCACACTGCATGACAAATACCCGTTTTCATTAGCCTGGTCGGTGCAGAACAGTAGGATGTTAAACCCATTCATTTCATTTTCCAGTCTTATAGTAGTGTAACCCTTTTGGTACTAGGCATAATTTTGTGTGTTGATGTAATCTTTTGTATTCATTGTGTCATTTTGTTATTATTGTTTCAAGAAAACTTCAGCATACAATTAAGATGATATCTTGTTGGGGAACATACAAGTTTTAATCCCTAGAATGGAAGACAAGGATGTAAACCTATTAAATTACCTCCATTCTTATAGTAAGCTTTAAAATTAGAATGGTATAAAATATCATGCCACCATGACAGTATGGCACATACATTACTTACTGTGTAAGTGTAAATCTTAAAATAAGTCTAATTGATTTTTAAATGTTTCTATTTCTTCAGGATCAACAGTACCTGGTGCCCAGTCTAGATTACCCAGGTCACGATCAGCTTCTAGTTATTCATCATTAACGGTGGCCTTACCGCCTCGACCACCGCCACCAGCATCGCTCGCTCAATCAACAGCGACGTTACCCTCCTCTGGAATTTCGTATCCTATGCTGCCACTACAGCCGCAAGTTCTACGAAGCCTTAGTGTGCCAGCAGCCACCTCACAATCTGCAAGTCCTATTAATAACTATCAGTCACAATTATCGGTTGTCTCCCCTTCGCCATCTCAACCATTAACCCCTTCCCTCCCATCTTCTTCAATACCCTCTACACCCGATACATCCATGGACACTCTGTTTTCGGACGACAGTATACAGGAGTGTTCTGTTTGTTGTGAAAGACAAGTCAATTGTGTACTTTATACTTGTGGACATATGTGCATGTGTTATGATTGTGCCATTGTTGTTAAACGAGAAAAAGGTGGACTATGCCCTATCTGTAGACAGACTATTAAAGATGTGATAAAAACATATAGATCTTAAGGACACTAATAGATCTAACTGAGAAACTATGAAACTTTTCATCGGGACACATACTCAAGTTTGAATTGCTTAATTTCAAACTCATATTTGCAAGCCTGGAAATAAGGCACCTGTCACAGACAATGTTAGACACAGATTCAGGCTTTGACAGGCACTAAACCTCTGGTGCCTGTCATTTTGTCTGGCACTGATTTGCCTTTTTTATTGATATTATTAATACATGTCCAGCACTAAGTTGAAAATGTCAGGAACTATTTCATTAGTTCCTGACATTTTGTCAGGTAATCTAAAACTGTTACTCCAAGCCTGCATATTTGCTCCCTTTTAACACAATTTGCTTTGCAGAATGAAGATATGATTAAAAAACTCAATTCTTTGGGTAGAGACTCGACAAAGACCTAATAAGTCTCCAGTCTAATTAAAATTATACCAGCAGTTCGATCTCTTTTATTGTTTGGTTTTTTACTCAATTTCATCTCTAAAATCTTATGTTTGCACTGATTGTGGTTCTAGCAATCAAAACCTGCGAAACAGAAAATTCTATGAAATGTTTCGAATGGCTTGGATTATCCAGACATTTTATTAGCTGTTTAATAACGTTTATATGTACTATTAAATGATATTAGCCGTCATCTTGGGGCCCAAAATGCGTTGTTTTTTTTCTTAAACATGAGGTTGTTGAGCGACGATCCAAATCATTGGAAAGAAAGTAGAAACTTTCTAAAGTTTTAATTAGATTGGGAAGTTTCGTGAAAGTGGTCAGATCGCCACGTTTAATTTGGGTTCTGTTTTCTTTTAGTATTGTTTTATGGTGCCCGTTAAACTTGTAAATAAAGATAATATACATGTATATAATATTATAGAGAATATATTATAGTAGATTATTTTGTTTTAATGTGAATCACCAAAATAATAATTATATCATTAAACAAAACTATGCATTACACATACTTATTATTAATGTTTATTTCAAATAATTATATTCCAGCACTCTTTATACATGTATATAATAGTTTGTACATTTTTCGTATAAACCGCAATTCTCAAAATGTTCTCAGAGTAATTTAGTTCATTCTTCACTGCTTTCTATCAACTGATACATATTGTAACACAATATTCTACTCCACAATAGATACATGTACAAGATATTACATCAATTAATATATGATCTAGAGGCACTATTCATCATAGATTTTCTTATCAATTTTGATATTTCTGTCTTTTTCAAGTGGGGTTCACATAGTCAGGCAGCCAGGGTTCAATTCCTTGCATTGGTCAAGCCCAGTTGTCAGAGGTGGCTATAGAAATTATGCCTAGTCATTCCGATGGTACAAAATTGAGGGACACCATGTACACATTAGCGGTCATGTTAATGTAACCTTTGCAGATAAAATTCAAGGAAGAGTGGGGAGAAATGCTGCTTTCCTGTCAAAATTCCCCATCTTGCATTTCACACATTGTGTTGAACCCCATTCCATTCTTTTCCAAGAAAAGTGTTAGTATGATTTTCCTATCTGAAGCCCTTACAAAACATGAAGCCATTGGCTTAAATGGAAAACACAAGACGTTATAAACTTAACATGTATTGTCATTGTATCATAACACCCCTAATTTTGTCCATAAAACTATGCATTGTGATCATCCATTATATTGATTCTATTTAATGAATATTGTTAATAATATTCACATAATAATTTCATACTGTGACAGGCGACCATAATTAATAAAATATCCAGTAAACTTTGATATATTTTGCAATACAAGGATATAAAAAAAACAGCCCTGCTAAAACAGCTGGGATATTGATTAATTTAAACTGTAACTTTACCATAAATATTTTAACTACAATTTTAGTTACATATCAGTTTACAATCTACTTTTATTGAAAAGGGCATTTAGTAACTGGATAGAGTAATAACAAAAACACATACTTATGGAAAACAGTAGTAGCTGTTTTCCATAAGTAGGTGTTTTTGTTCTTATTACTATAGATTTATTTTTTTGTTTAAACCTCTTTAATTAAATTCTCATTTTTTGTTGATTTATCATCAGTATTATTTAAGTAAAAAATGTAAAACTTTATTTTGTGTGTTTTTCAAGAGTTGCATATTTTTATTAATAATTAAATAGTCAGTTGTGTTCCCTAGCAGAACTTTTATTTCAGCCATATTTGCCTTAAAAATTATCCTCCAAGATGATCAGTGTCTCTCATGAAAGTGTTTAGTTTTGAATTAAGGACACAACTTTGAATTCTTGTACACTCCAGCTATATATAGTCAAAAAAATTAAGAGCCCACTGGACTACCGGTATATTTTCATTAAGAGCACATTTGACTATGTTTTCACCTTTGAAGTTTCGATTAATTTAGGTATTACAATAGTTTCAAGACAAAAAAAATAAAGCTTTACCAAAGATTTTGACTTTTGGGTTTCGTCTAAGGTGAAAACTAATTAGATTATTGATCACATTATTATTATTGTATCATCCTACATTGTATATTATTCCCATGGTATTAATTATAACTTAGATATTCATCTCTTCCTAGTCTGTATTCAAGCATGTGTATATAATATATATTGATTAACAACAACTGAAAAAAAGAGAATTTTGAATCACCATATTGGAGTATTGTTGTATTTTAATCAGGGTCCATAATCAATGAAGTTACGATCATCGAAAGAAACAGAGATCTTTGGGATATTAACCTATATTTCAAGTTTGGTCAAATTTGGATTACAATTGTGACCTGTAGAGGGTTCACAAACAAAATGTCAATGGACACACAGACATAGAGTGGTGACGGGATAATACGTGGACATGAAAATGTTGGCTATAAAAATTGTTATAGGCCAATATAGGTTATGGATTTAACATTCGGGAGTGAATTAGGGTACGGGTCCTATTCCATAATGAATAACCTTGTGGGTTGTTCGCTGGCTATTCTGCAGTTGGTAATGGCAGCACTTTTGGATGTACCTCATCAATATATAAGGCACCACGAAAACAGGTTTTAACTTAAACCTATGTTTGATGATAATCTTATTATGTGGTCGTATATTGTCGTTGGTCCGGTTGTGGACGCTCTAGAGGCTAAAGTTAATATCGGATTGACTTGAAATTTATACAGTGTTTGAGGTCATGAGAGAAAGGAGCCTATTGATTTTCAGCGATTTCCATTAATTACTGCCAGAGTTATGGCCCTTGATCACTTTGAAAAATCTTGTTGACGCTCTAGAGGCTAAAGTTAATATCCAATTGACTTTAAATTTATACACAGTGTTTGAGGTCATAAGACGAAGAATCCTTCAGCAATTTCCGATAGTTACTGCCAGAGTTATGGCCCTTGATCTCTGAAATATCTTGTAGAAGCTATTGACGCTAATGTTAATATCTGATGGACTTTAAATTTATACACAGTGTTTAAGGTCATGAGACAAAGAAACCTATTAATTTTCAACACAATCAAAATTGAGTGTCTCCAGTAGTAGTACGCATAATATTAATACACAGTGATTTTTCTAATTTAGAGGGGTGTTATTGTCCAAAAGACAGTGTCTAATCGACCAATCAAAACGCAAGATTCACCTTTAAGCATGTTACAATTTCAGATAATTACTGCCAGAGTTAAAGCCCTTGATCACTTTGAAAAATCTTGTGGCCGCTCTAGGACTAGAGGCTAAAACTCCATTTTATTCATTCATTCACTCTAGAGTCTATAAATTGTTTAAGGTCATGAGACAAACAATCGAAACAAATTCTAATGTTTTTTGATAATTACTTCATGGGTTATTACTCGTCATTGGATTTTCATGTGTTACAATTAATGTTCTTTGCGCAAGCTCAAGCTGCGCCACTGGATAAGCTAGAAAACAGATTATAATTGCACTCATATTCGGTAATATACATAACGACAAATGAAACCCATAATAAAGTCTTTATTCAGTTGCGTGTTAACAGTATAATACACATTTAAAAATAAATTTATTTTAATAACAATATACAATTCCACTGCAGTCCCATAAATATTCAGTACACTGAAACTGTAAAAAACCATAACCGCACATTCACAAATTTTTCACGTAAAGTTTTCAGCCCAAAATCTGATCACCAAAACATTTTATATGTAATGTTGCCCTACATAACTCTAATTTTTGCAAAAAAAAGATAATTAAAACGATCAATATCCTGTGAATTCTATTGTTTGCTGGGAAACAACACACAAAACGAAATGTACCTGGAAGCTTTTACTGCACATGCGTCCAGCTTATAGACATGTTTATCCGGGCACAGGTGTTTGCTGGTCAAGAAGCTCCAGTTGACAACTGAATATCAATGACAGCTAGAATAACAGGTACTCTTCCACGCAGAACTAAGTAGTTTTATTCACTGAAATAAATCTAGGATTTTCCTTTTGGTTAACTGTTGTGTGGCATATCAGCACATCGTGGCCCACTCTCACTTTGTTTCCGACACAAACTTAAAATTCCACACGGGAAAATCACCCCGTTGGTCCAACTCATTTATCTAAATTCAAACAAGGAATATCTTTTGATCACTGGCTGGAGACTTTTTGTGACGCATTACACAGATACTGCGTCCCAAGTAAACACAAGACACGGCGAAAAAAGGCGGCACTATCAAATATTCTGTGTTTTTATCGCACAGGGACACATTACTACATGTTTCGTTAACAAGAGACAGCGGTTTTACGATGAATAATATTATACCTATATAAATAATATTTAGTGTATAATAAAGGTTGACGACTTTACAGATATCACAATTCCCAGGCATCGTTTTCTTTTTAACTGAAAAAACAAGATAACCATAATTATTATTATAAACAATACATTATGACATGGACCTTATGATTATGACAACAAGATCTACTTTTCATGGACCCAAATTTGTTTAGTTTCTGTGTTATATAGTAGAACGACTGTCTTCCCTGTAGTTTTAATAATTTCTACCGTGACTCTGGTTTCATAATCAAACGTAGTCAAGGTATTGATGTAATGAAACTATACACCAAATCTCGCTTAATTAGAACTAAAGTTATCGTGTTCCAAAGCATCAACGAATCAAACTGAATATCTCTGATTACCCTAAGCAGACAATTCTCATCTTCGAACTACATCAAGGAATTCGCCTAATAAACACCTTCACCAAATGTGAACATTCTAGCTCAGTTAGAAGGAGAGTTATTGTGTCCCAAAAAGTGTGACGGACAGACAGACAGACGAAAGGCGGGGGCCAAAAGAAAAGAAAATAACTTCATATCTAATGTCATGGAAAAAAGAGCAATCTTATCTATAAACTCATTTATTCATCTCTCTAAGTCTGTCTGACCATTTGCAAACACTGCTACACCGTACGGAACTCTCCCCATTGATATTGTAACCGTTCAACATATATATCACCAGTTTTCAGTTTTGAAGCTTATTCGCTTACACCCTAAGTGAAGGCACTGGAAATGTGCACTGCGCGGGCGCAAGCAATTTTCACTAAAATCCATTAAAATTACAATCGATCTTCGTGAAACGCATAGAATTTTAAAATTTCAATTTGATTTTAGTCAAAATCTATTTTAGTGATTTTAGTTTCAGTTTTTGTGAAACAGGACCCGTTCTGCCTTCACTAAATTTTTAGTGCGCGGTAAATATATAGGAAGCAAGATTTGTATTAATAAACATTTGGGATGGTTGAAAAGTGCTTTAGCACGGAATTACATAAATATAATATATAATATATTACTCTACGCAAATGACACAGTGCTTCTCGCGGATAACGAAAAGAGTCTGCATTGCTTGACAAGGTTAACGAATGGTGCATGCGACGGAAAGTCCTCATCAACACATCGAAATCCAAATGGATTCACTTCACGACAAACAAGAAGTGACTTTAAATTTAATCTTGGTCGGGAAGAAATCGATACTGTTGAAAGTTACAAATATTTGGGTGTTATATTTCAAGAACACTCTAAGTTTGATAACACAGCCAATACTCTATAAGCACTGCTGCTGGTCGAGCCCTTGGTTCGGTTATATCAAAATTTTACACACTGAAAGAGTTTGGTTTTAAAACCATTACGAAATAATACGAGGTATGTGTCGTACCTATTACCGACATATGGAGCTGCAATATGGGGATATAAATCTATAAATCGTTTGAAATGATACAAAACAGGGCTATGCGATTTCTACTATAGGAGTTCACCGATTCACTACTTTGCTAGGAATAAGTTGCGATATTGGGTGGATGCCTTGCACACAAAGAAGATGGATTAAAATGTTTCAACTCTGGCACAGACTATTAATTCTAGACGATAGGCTGACACCGAAACAGAGAGCGAGAAATGGGTTCTAACATACACTCGAAACACAAACTAGGTCAGTTCGAGACAAAGATATATGGCTTTTAATTTTATTCAATAATTCGCATGCGCAGTGGGAGGAAACCGGGGGACCCGGAGAAAACCCACGATGTTGGACAGGCGACTCTACTCCTTGTCACGTACAACCGGGGATTCGAAACCACGCCAGTTGTCTCAACGACAGGCCTTATGATACGGCGCGCACGTACTAACCATTCAGCCACCTCCCCCCCCCCCCCTCCTGACAAAGAAAGTGTTTGAAAACGATTTCCGCTGTGCTACCTCTAATAAAAACTGGTGTGCTGATATGAAAGTCTTATTCGAGAAACTCAGTCTGTCTGAATACTATACCAATAAACTGACGATAAATATCAACGTAATAAAATCAAAGACGTGGACAAATGTAGTCATGGCAGGTCAAATTAGGCAACTCCCTCGAACTCAGAAGCTATGTCGTCTTTAAAAAACGAGTTTAAAGCCTAGAATTACTTAGTTCTTAATCTGCCCAGAAATGAACGGTCAATTCTGGCGCAGTTTAGATGGTACCCTCCCATTTCGACTACGTCCCATTTCGACTACAGCTTATAACAACAGATTATATGATCTGTTGGTTTTATTATCCCTACTTATTTACCCTCTCTATAACTAAAATAGATTCTTCCATAAAACATCCCATTTAGGCTACAGCGTAGTCGATATGGGGTGTAGTCGAAATGGGAGTGAACCGTTTAGATGTGGTGTTTTACCCCTTCGTGTTGAGACAGGGCGGTTAATAGGTGAAAAGCTCGAAGATCGAACCTACTAATTAATGTGTGCATTAACTGTACAGAAGATGAAAAATATTTTATTTTATACTGTTCCTTATATAGCGATATGCGACAATACTGGTTTAATGAAGCCATATCAGATTTACAATTCTCACGAATGCAAGATAATCATAAATTAATATACCCCATGATTAAGTTACCGCGTCGATGTGCCAAATTTTGACTCGAGCTTACCTAAGGCGTAGGAAAAAACTTCTCAATTGATATTAGAAGGACTGCCTAGCCAGAGCTCGAATAGACATTGTAATTATTGTAAATCCTCAACTTAGCGATCATTCGTATGAATTCTTATTATATTAGACTTATTTGTGTATGTTAAATAGTGACATATAGGTCCAATGGGCCGGGTGTTAGTATTTTATATTGATTTTCACATGTCTTCTTTGTATAACACGTCACTGAAATAAACAACTTTACTACTATTAAAAAAAAGCTTATGCCTAACCATAACCCTTGAAAAAACTATTCTTTCGATCTTTCAGCCCTATTTCTTTTCTTTTTTTTTTCTTTCAAGGTAAAATGTTTGAACATGTTATTGTCTCCTTAATGGATTCAACGCATGGATTCTTTTTTTTCGAAATAAAATGAATACAATTCGAGTGGGTGACTGGGAATTAAACCAAATCTCTCTCTATGTGGGAAATTTTGCCCGTATAGTTGGGCTACGGCGTATTCTTATTTGAATACCAAATACCAAGGGTTATTTTATGTATACCAACGTACACACGGGACCGCGGTTTCTGGTTCCATCCAAACGACTAGACGCTGTTCCTTGCCAGGGGAAACACGCTGCAAATACAGTTATAGTAGGTTAAAGCGCACGTGTATAAATAACAGTTATATTGTTATGTGACAGATGTCCTAGTGTTATTAAACTAAATTATATCCACATATACCGATAACTCATAATTGATTAATAATGAAAATAAACACATATTTCCCCTATATGAAACACTGTACAAAACGTATAGTAATAAATGAAATTTGGTTTAATGTCCTAATTAAGACTAATGAAGAAGGGCATACGTCATGCAAGTTTTTTTGTCCATGGCTTACTCTTAATCTTATACCGAATTACCACTGGCAAGTGTTCTACTATATGCCATACTGCACGCAGCGACCCATCTACGTCATACTTCCCAGAATGTGACACTGCCCCGATTAGCCGCCATTTAAAACGCCCACGTGACCATTGGGGGCGGGACTTATCGACTAAACACCGATTTGTTTAGACAACAGAGTAAAAATAACCCACGCACGTGTGTTTTATGTAAACACGCCATGTCGCTGACACTCGCGTAAAAGCGATATATAATATGTGCTATGGGTAATATTGCAATAAATGCTGTACCATTGTAAACTGTCTTTAGAATCTCAATCTGTTTATCTTTCAAAACAAGGTTAGATACTCCTAAATTTGTTTTCGCAAACAAAACCGCCTCTGTGAAATTATGTTTCATGGGCGCCGCCATATTGAATAATTAGAGGACTATTTTGTGATTCGGCTTTGATTAGTTTGACATCTTTCATACACACAGCGGCTAAATAAACATATTTAATTTCATTCAATATGACAATAGAAGAAAAATAAATACTTTTAAAAATTTCTAAAAGCATACTCAGTGTTTTCGACTAAAATCGTCGATGTAGGAATTAAAATGTCGGTTAATTAGCTTAGGGCCTATTCTCAGCCGGAGCTAGCTGTAGATAGGCAGCCTAAGTTTTGGATGACTATATGCACATCAAAGTGTATAAGGGACCTCGGCTTTTAATCCTCCCGAACGCTTTCTCGGCCAACATGATGGGGGAGGGTCTAGTGGTTTAATGCGTGCGCGTGAAATCACAAGGTTTCGATTCCCCGCTTGTACGTGACAACGAGCAAGGTTGCCTGCCCAATCTCGTGGGTTTCTCCGGGTCCCCCGGTTTCCTCCCTCTGATAAAGACGCAAACGCGCCAGCGAATTATTGAAATAAAATTGAACCATGTGCTAGTCCCGAAATAACTTAGATTGGTCGAGTGGACGTTACCCCCCCCCCCCCTCTCTCTCTCTCTCTCTCTCTCTCCCAACACCGGGATTGAAATCCGCACATCTTGGCTAGTGAACCAGTGTCTGACTCACTGAGCCATCGTGGCCCCTCCCTACGTACAAAGACAAGTAACCAATTGTACCTAACATTTGATTTGATAAATATTGTACATCACAGACAATAGCTGAGAAGGTCCAGAGAAAACAACTGACATTTTAAGCTTCGAAGTCCTGATAAAATTATTAACAAATCAGACTGACAAGATCTCGACAGGTAAATAACTGATTAACACCTGACAAACACTGAACTAAACTACGCGAATACAAGTTGAACGGACTGACCGGATGAAAAGATTGTAAAACACGAGAACAAAGCTGACCACCTAGACATATATTTTTTGTTCCTAGTCAGTACATATTTATATACACATTTCTCAGACATCCAAATGTCAGTGTTGTTTGAATGTCTATCTGATTAAAATACAGATCTATATTTCGTTTCGTTCCGTTTTTTTTTATACTTTCGATAGCCTCTACTACATGGCGATCTGACCAATTGTAATGGGAGGTCGCGTTAGGGGTCACACGAGCGGCTTTTGACGTTATGACGTCAGACATTTGATTAACCAATCAGCGTCGATGTTTCTAGTAGGATACCCACAGTTCCGAACATTGCACGCCAAGAACGGGCCGTTTCATTGGTTAATCCCTTGTATTAATGAGAACGCGAGTTGTATAACAACTCTTCCAGATCCTATCGTAGTACAAACGAGTAAAACGAAATTTGGAACAATAAAAAACGAAATGAAATAGGATCTGCGTTTTAATCAGATTGTTTGAATGTCCAAGATGAGCTCAGACCACATCTGTGTTGTCTTTTGACAACAAGAAATGAAATGGGGTTTACCGCCCTACTGTCCTGCTCCAACTTGGCTATTGAAGACGGGCATACGCTATACAGTGTGCTAGTAAGGAAATTTCAACCACCAGGGGTTCTTATGTATCGTGCATGCCAATGTGTACACGGGATCTCGGGTTTCGTCCCATCCGAACGACTATACGCTGCAATGACAAGGTGGAACCACAGGGATCAAATAACGGGACCCCCAGGTTAGCGAGCCATCGTGACTCCTTGTGACACCATGCCAGTGGAGAGTTGGAATTACTCAAAAATACGGATACGATTTTTCAACAGATGTCCTTTATTCCGACCGAAACGAGCTACATGTATCCGAGCAGAGCTATTCGAAATGACGAAGACGACGGTCGAAGTAGATTCGACATACCCTGACATTTGCACGACACTAGTCGGAATTACCGTTGGCTATCTTAAAACATTCTATATTCACATCTAAACGCTTACCTTCGTTATTTTGGGAGTTCGCATAACATAAAAGGCTTAATAATATGATGTACTGGGGCATATAAACACATATATACACAGCCCAATCTGACGATCTGTGGGTTATCACTACCATATTGTTGTCTTTCAGTACCACCAAGGCAGTGGAAATATTCAGTATACATCGTAATATCGTTAACACAGTGGTTAAGAGAAGTACCAAAAATAAATTCCATTTCCAAATGTTTCCGATGTCAATGTTTGGATTTTTCAAGTAACTTAACAGCAAGGCACCGATAATAAACGCAACTAACACCTCTCCTATCTGGTTAATTTGAAATCCTATCGATGCTGCCAGCGGATTTGTTTTTAAAAATACGTCTATAATGGCTAAACAGTTGAAGACGATGCCAGCGCCAAGAGTTGCCAAAGCTGGCAATGACGTCATCAATCCATGTCGTGATGTCATTAAAAGATGATATAAGTAGGAACATCCCGTCAAAATAAAAACACTTCGAATCGCCACATTTAAAATATCATATGAAGTCATATTGGTTAAAATCGGATTCAAATTAACGTGGAACTTCTCTATAATGTATATTTCCGCCATAGTTGTTTTCCTCTGTTATGGTTCAAATAAAACAACAGATTACGAATTCCTGCTTTCACAAGCGATATATGAAATCACATTTGATTAGACCTATTGTAGTTATGTTGATCAATATCTCAGATTCTATAGATGTTAGTCAGCAACACGGACTACAACAATGAAACAGCTGCCTGTGTATCTCGCTACTGTGAAAATCTATATAATATAGGTGGCCATCATGCTCTCTACATGCAGACTAATACCAGATATATACAGCTGTTTAGATATTGTCACCTAGAATAAAAAAAAAAAAGTCGTGTGTAATTTAATTGGCAATTTAATATATGTGAAATGCAATTATCAAATGTGGGCTGTAAATTGATCTCTGTGTCGGCATTGAAGTATAGTATTAACAATTAATAATATCGATCTTCAAAAGTAATATTGAGATATACATATTGTTATATTTGTAAACAGTTTAATGTAGCTAACAAGTAAATTATAGTTATAGGGAGTTGTATTAAAACCCCAAACATGTACTTGCACAGACCCACAACCTTCTTAAATATACACAACTGGGTCCTCAAAGTAGGGACCTTCATTATTTTCGCTTAATAATGGCCAAAAATGTCATTACGGAAATCTCTAAGATGAAGATCAAACTTCGAAATGAAATAACAGACCCATTTCTGAATTAAAGGGGCTTCGGCGAGTTGAATTGTAGCTGAGAATGGCCTATATTTAGCCTAGAAATTGTTTGTATGGATAGACTTATATTAACAAACGGGGGTATTATATATTATACTAATATATACTCTTCAAAAAAAGAAGGGGGTATTCAGAAACAATACAAAACTGCGGAAATGCACTGCTGTTTTTATTAGAGGTAACCAGTGTATGTTAGTAACAAGCCAATTGCCTACACATGAACATAAACAGTTCATATAGGCGGCTTATCTGACGGCCCCATTTCAACCGCAAAGAGATACACTGACAAATGTGAAAATGGACGTCTTGGATTTTTGTCTTAATAATGAGTAATTGCCCCACCAAACCTCAGACATTCAGCAATTCGTCGTGGCATGCTCCTAATCAGCCGTTCAATCACGATTTGGGGCAATTTGTCGGTTGACGTTGACGAACACGTCTCCCGATCAAATTAACCGAAACACACTAAAGCAAAGATACGCTAAACAGTAAATCTTATGCAAGAACCGATAGGAAATGAAATGAAATGAAATGGGGTTTAACGTCCTACTGTTCTGCTCCTAACCTGGGCTAATGAAGATGGGCATACGTCATACAGTGTGCTATGAGGGAAATTTTGCCCGGGCAGCGGCGCTACGGCCTACGCTTATATCTAATTCCAACTGCCAAGGGATCTTTTACGTGCACGCCAATGTGTACACGGGACCTCGGTTTTTCGTCCTAACGATTAGACAGCTGTCCTTGTCAGGCCCTCCGTCCTGCATCACTGACAAGGGGAAACCACGCCGGAAAATCGGGATGAACTTTCTCGGCCAATGCAGGGATCGAACACCCGACCTCCAGGTTAGCGAGCCAGAGGTCTCGTGTATACATTGGAATGCACGTAAAAGATCTCTTGGCAGTTGGAATTCGATATAAGAGTAGGCGATAGTGCCGCTGCCCGGGCAAAATTTCCCTCATAGCACACTGTATGGCGTATGCCCGTCTTCATTAGCCCAGCATAGGAGTAGAACAGTAGGACGTTAAACCCCATTTCATTTCATTTTGTCTCAATCATCAATATTATTTAAACGTATTTAACGTACCCGTGGCAGTATACTGTAATTAAGCCTAAAATGTTTTGTGTCCAGTAGTAAATATGCATTTATTATTTTATTACAGTTTTTAAAAAAATTAAAACAATTTTAGATCTAAACCGTCGTTTAGATCTCGTGGCATTCAGACGGCTATTCCAGTTTGAACAGATATCCTCAAACAAAACTTCATAATCAGAGAAATTATCACCGAGCTAAAAATCGTCCCTGTAGCTGTAACCGCCCTGTACTTCTATGAATAACAAAACAATATCACATATTTTTTCGGCCCTTCCGGAAGGTGTGAAAATATAAATTGGAGTTCTGATAAATTAGCAGTGTTTTTTTAGCTGTTTTTCAGCAACTTTAGTTTTATTTCAGATTTGGAATAATATTGTTCTTTCCCCCGCTTAGCTGTTCACCTTTGTTTAAAGATGCATTATGTAAGAGCTGCCTATTGCGGGTTTTTCTGGGCCTTCAAATGTGATAAAAAAAATATATTATTCAAACATTTATTAACATGTCAAGCCCATAATTAGCTCTTTGGGCCATGGAATGGCTCCAATTTTAAGTAGATGTATTATAAACAATCTACGCTACATTTTGTCAAAGCTTCAAACACCCATACTAAAGTAATTTGACAGAAATTTTCAACATATTCATATTTTCATGATCTATTTTTGTACTGTTATACCAATAACGACCAGCTCTTTTCTCCAATTCTTACATAATGCATCTTTAAATACAACAGTAGGGGGGGGGGGCAACTTATCTGGAATCTGGAAATATATCCATACCAAAAAGCCCCATGTAATATTCTGGAAAAAATATTAGAAACTATCTCATATTAGATGTTTAAATGGGTGAGCAAACACTGAATAAGACAAACTAGCTGTTGTAAAGTTTCCTAAATCCAGTGTTGATCAATGATAAAAATAAACATCTAAGACATTAGCTTTTATTAATTGCTATTATTATTTTATACCTGGGTTTTTCTAACCATACTTTAATAAGTGCATGTTCTACTCATATGAACATTTCAATACAACATAATAAAAGAACATGACTGATTAACCCAGCACTATTCAATTTTTTATTTTTTGTCCGAGTCCATGCTAGTAAATAGATCAATTAGCTGCCCTGAGTAGTCAGAAAAAAAAACTTGTAACATGGACGGGAAATCTTCCTTTGTTCTTTTCGTTGAATAAGCAGATTGTTTTCTCTCTAGTAGATTGGGTGGAGCTTAACCGTGCAATAACTAGACATAGCTATAAATATAACTTAAGTCCTTTCTTGTTTTTGTCGTAGTGCTGTTTTCTGGGGGGATATGGCTTATTCCTAAACTAACTACGATAACTCGGATTAATAGTTAAAATTGTACTTTTAATAAACGAGTGTCCAAAACTGGCTAACTGTCACAATAATGAGATAGGTATTCCGTACTTCTAATTGACAACTTTACTGATAGCTTCGTAAGTTATACCTGGGTGCTCCGGATTCTTTCAGTTGTTAAAGGTACGATATATTTTAATCCCGGAATGACCTAGTTTGTGATGAATTGTAGTTATTGACTAGATGTATTGGGAACTCATGTCAGCTTTATAAAAAAAATTGCCTATTTGTAAGATAAATTAGCTACATTTACTGTTTACGAGACTTTAAAGAACATTTATTTAAACCCAATGATATTTACATAATGCATGCTATTACACATGCACGTAGACCTATTTACCATAGACCTTTATAACTTCTTGCCCAGAGAACTAACATTAAAGTGTCATATTCAGAACGACAGAAATCAGGACACAATATCGACCCCAGGCAAATACCGTATCACTTTTACTTAAATGAACTCACTAATGGATACTAATAAACTTACGACATCTTGAATGTTCTTCCGTCCTATTCCCATAATCCTGTCCATATGAGAGCGTCGCGACTTTTAAATTCACGTAGATCAAATATATAAAATCACACAAAACACACTCTGCCGTTTAAATATCTAGACAGGGTAGTTTTTTATTTGTTTTTGTTTTGCTCACGTCACATCTATTTCTTAATTGATATACACCCCTAAATGTATAAGTACCCATAAGCTCATTTAAGCCATTTGTGGGACACAAAATAGTTGTGTGCTACTTTTATTCAAAAAGTAATGGAAAGCACGCGGCTCAATAAAACATGACCTTAGTTAGCCCTGTCATTAGCTATGAATAATTTATGAAGAAGTAAAAGTGTTTGAGTAAAGAGAGAAACGGGAGAATCTTTTAACTGGTTACATAGAAAACTCAAGTTATGCTAATAAATAAGATTAAAGAAGAGAGAAAACTATGCCGAGTGGAGAAAACACATAAATAATGAAAATTTTCTGAAATGAATTAAAATGAGGTTTAACTTCTTACTTTTCTGCTTAAGGCGGGCTAATGAAGACTAAGGGGAATAATTTTGCCTGGGCAACGGCACAACGAGCTACTCTTCGAATTTCATGTGTCAGGAGTTATATAATTGCACTCAAACGCGTGCACGAAACAATTCGAACGATTGGGCGCTTTCACTTGCCAGACCCACCGTCCTGCACCATTGAACCACGTCGGGAAATCCTGACGTAATTTCTCGACCAACTTACGAGATCGAACAAGGGACCAGCCACCGCTGCCAGAGGAAGCCACAAAATATGAACTGGAGATACGTCTGTGCCGCAATTGCACCTTATAGGCTTAAAGGTGCGATGCCTGAGCGTTTCTATCACTGTCAGCTTTATTGTTAACTGGCAGATTTTCCTGCTGGGATGATTTACAGATAACTTAGCATTAAAGGACTCATCGGATCTGAATCAGGATGTGTTGGGCCCCGCAAGGGAATTTTCCCATTCAGAGCTGACGCGTAGCCCAAACTTTTAAATTCATTCATGCTGTAAGGGAGTTGGACACTTGGTTCTTCCAGTTTTGACCCTTTTAGCACAAGCCTATCCTCCTGTTAGTTCGGCCCTAAGTTTACGTGCGAAGGATTTGAAAACCCTTGACGATTAACTACATACTTTAATCAAGCCACGTCGATAACACAGAGTCTATGGATCAATCAGCAAAATCTAGTAACAGCGGCTAAAAGCCTCACCTCGATGGGAAAAATCTCATAAATTATGAATTTTCTAACGCAAAATGGTTTTAAAGTTGGTATGTATTTATATTTAACCGATTTATATCTCAAGTAACATTCTTAACCATAAACCGACCTTTTAATCAGCTTAGTGAGACCAGAAAAATAACAGTATTTTCAAGCGGGGAGCCATGGTAGCTAAGCTGGCTTACTAACCAGAATGTATCGGATGGAGCCCGGGATTTTCCAGTCTGGTATCCCCTAGGAGCAGGGCGCGTTTCGTTCTTAAACAATTGAACAAATTAAAAGCCAACAACGTGGGTTTTCTCCGGGTCCTCCGGTTTCCTCCCACTGCTAAATAACCCTACACGCAAGCGAATGATTGAAATCAAATTGAACCATGTGTTAGTCTCGAAATGACATAGTTTGTGTCGAGTGGACGTTAAATGCCATTTCTCTCTCACAAATTAAAACATATAAACTGGATATCTCGAATTAGACTTTGTATACAAATTACGTTTGTCGTCTAAATCCCTTCTCCAAACTATCGCTCCACCCAGTTTAATTCATATTATACCACTTGTCGCGACAGCCTAATCAATATTATACCACTTGTCGCATCACCCAGTTTAATTAATATTATACCGCATGTCGCACCACCCAGTTTAATTAATATTATACCACATGTCGCACCACCCAGTCTAATTTTAATTAATATTATACCAGCTCCTTCCATTTTATTTGACGGAGTCAGATCCGAATAAAAGGAACGAAGTTAACATCTGATGTTAATAAGATTGTCGGGTTGTGAGAGTGAGAAGTTACTCCTATCCTTCCGTGCTCCATGATATATTTATGCACCGAAAGTCACTTATAAACACCGGAATTCACTTACAAACCCCGGAATTCACTTATAAACACCGGAATTCACTTTGAAGATATCAGAATTCGCCCGGAAAGCCTTCCTATTTACTTATATTTTGCATTAATATTAATATTGAACTATTTGTAAACACCGAAAATCCCCGAAATTCACCTTGAAAACACCGGAATTTACTTTCAAAATATCTGAATTCGCACTTAAGACTTTAATAATAATAATAATAATAATAATTATAATAATCTTTTTATAAAGCTCTGAATATCCAACAAACGAGTTGCTCAAGAGTGCTATACTAATTCCTATTCACTAATATTTTGCATAAATAATAAATTACTTTAAAACACCGGAATTCACATTTTAAAAAAAATAGAAACACCGGAATTCACTTTCAACAGTGAGGCTGATGTCTACCGCCGAAATCCCGAAATAAATAGATGACACATATTAACTAATTGCACATTGATCTTTTTCAAAGGTATCGTGCAATCAACTATACACTAAGTTTCATCACTCTATCAGTTAGAATCAAAGTCAAAGAAATTGCTTAGCTCTGCTTAGCTTTAGCGGGAAATGTTAATTATCGAACTCAGTCGGGTCAGGACAAATTTAAACATTCTATCTCAATTAAAAGCAGAGTTGTTATGTTCCAAAGTCTTGACCAATCAAATGGCTTATCGCTCCTTAGCCTAAGCAGAAAATTTCCATCATCATACTTAGTCAAGGTAATGATATATTGAACCTATACTCGTCGCTCTCACTTAATTATAACCAAAGTTATCATGCCCAAAAGCTTCAACCAATAAAACTGCCTATCTATGCTTACCGTAAGCAGACAATGTTCATCATCGAATTCCATCAATGCATTCACCTAATGAACGCCTGCACCAAGTTTGAGCATTCTACCTCAATTGGAAGGAGAGTTATTGTGTATAAAGTCTCGACCAATCAGATTGCTTATCGCTCTGCTTACCCTCAGCAGAAAATGTTCATTGTCGAACTTAGTCAAGGTATCGTTGTGATGAAACGATACACCAAGTTTCATCACTTTCATTTAATTCGAACTAAAGTTATGCTCATCTTCGAACTCCACCAAAGCATTGACCGAATAAACACATACACCAAGTTTGAACATTCTAGCTCAATTAGAAGGAGAGTTATTGTGTCCCCAAAAATGTGACGGACAGATGGACGGACGGACAGACAGACGGACGAACCCATTTTAATAGTCCCCTGCTTTCTTCTAAAGGCGGGGGGCATTAATTAATCTGCAGTGGATATGAAGTTCAGATTTATGTTCAACCTGTTTGTTGACAGGCCCGGTTTGTTGATTGTCTCTAATCAGAGACAGGAAACTACCACATTACACATAAAATACAGACAAACATGCAAGGAACGCTCGTCTGTGGGCGACTCCCGGGCATAAAAGATAAAAATGGTTCGATCACATTTACCTACACCCTTAACCTCGGTGGAAGCGGACGTTAAGTAAAGCTATTTCACATATAACCTACACCTCACTTGCAATTATTTCTATAATCATTGCGAATCTTTGCTTTTGATATATTTATCAACAGTCATGGCTGCTCGTAGAAAGATTAGCCCCAGTAGGCCCTTTTTGGCCTTGCGGTGTGTGCAGGCGAGATTGTGAAAAATCTTGTTCGATTGTTGTGGTATATGGTTTCATTGTGGTTATGAAAATTTGACTGAGTTGGAGTTCAGTTATTTTCGTAAATATTCCTCTATTCTCTTTATCTGCTCGTCCTGTTATTTTGGTGTTACATCAAATGATACATATTGTTATTCATCTGGTATAAAGATATGGTCTAAGTAAGTCATGCAACCAATAATTGTTATCTTATACCCCAGTGTTGAGCGCTTAGTGCCTACGGCCCCCTTATAATCCAAGATCTCTGGATCCGAGTAGTAGTAGTTTTCAATTGAATTCCGGTGAATAGTGGTGACTAGAGCTACTACTATAACAGAGAGCCACTTGCAGGTCCCCAGTTTGTTTCCTGTGTTGACCGAGAAAGAGGCTCGTGACGCGGCACCCCTTGCCAGGACGGGGAACTTGTCAAGGGACAACATAAAGTCGTTTGGGTGGAACAAAAACCAGAGCTCCCGTGTACACATTGCTGTGCACGTACAAGAACCCTTGGCAGTTGGAATTCGATATAAGAGTAAGGGAAAAGTTTCGTCCTAGTTGCGGGATTGGATGGCCGAATGGTAAGCACGTGCGCGCTGTATCATAAGGTCTATCATTGAGTCAACTGGCGTGGTTTCGATTTCCCGGTTGTACGTGACAAGGAGTAAGGTTGCCTGACCAACCTCGTGGGTTTTCTCCGGGTCCTCCGATGTCCTCCCACTGCTAAAGACCCCTACGCGCAAGCGAATTATTGAAATAAAATTGAACCATGTGTTAGTTTGTGTCGAGTGGACGTTACCCCCCCCCCCCCTCCCTTTCTCTCTCTCTTTAAATGTTAATCGTAACCTTTATACACCTACCTATATATAAGATTTATAAGATGTAATTACAGATTCTATTCTTGGACTGTAGTAATGATTGTAATAAAATCAATGCAACGAGCAGATGTATACTAGTATTACGTACGTTAACATATGTCTTGATGGCGTTTTTGATATTTTAAACGAAAAAAAAGTGCGAAGCCTTATTTGTCTCTAACAAACATTACAAACTAAATAGATGGTTTCGACTTTGAGAATATTATCTATATCCGGAATAAAGATTTTATTATCTCTATTTAAAGATGTGTTCCTGCTGTTTAAATTACTGTAGTTAGCTTTATATTTTTCTCTGAAACATTTTATGACAAGGAGAAAGCAAATCGGCCACAATATATTAAATTAGATGCGTATTACAGTGTCATCCATTGTTTGGATCACAATGGTGATTTTTCGTTAATACTTCTCTAAGGGGGGTGGAAAAACATATTTTCCCGGGGACGCCATCAAAAAATCGACCCACTCAGCATTAGAAAATCAAAT